CATTTATTTATTCCTTCTCCTGTATTTTCACCAATTATAGATTGCGCAATGATTGGAATGACTGTGCAGCACAGGTTCTAACTCTCTATTTTGTTCATCATAATTGTTTTTTCCTTGAAGGTTTTGACGTTGATGCTAACTAAATGTTTTGAACACCTTTTCCAGAGAGGCCTGCCACTCGATATTAACCTTCTTATCCGACATTTTTGACCTCGAGAAATCTGTGAATGAAGAGCAGTTCAAACGAATCAGAGACAATATCATTATTCCCCGGGGAGCTACAATCACAAGAATCTTGATTTCATCAATAGCAGGAGCAGTTCCCAGTTCTCGGCTAGATACGGTAAGTTTAGGAATCTATTTCTATCTTCTGCTGCATTGAGACTGATGTTTTGTAGCCTTTTGAGAAACAGTTTCATTTTGTTTTTGAACGTGGGTTTTGGTTAGGTAACATACGCGCTGCTAGCTCTGACCAGAACATACGGTTTACAAGCAGTGGGTTGGGCCAAGGCAACTGTTAGCCTGATACCTCGAACAGCTGTGACTGAAACCGAGTCTACCAAGTTCTTACAAGGGCTATCCGATGCTGCTTATGGAGCAGCAGATGTGAATTCTCTGATAGGACACGCGGAGGAACTTTCAGATGTTTGTCGCCGTAACCGTACTGTTCAAGAACTTGTTCAGGCAGCTTTGAAGCCTCTTGAGTTGAATCTGGTTGTTGCTCCTGTATCATAGAGATGGTGAAAACAAAGAAAGAAAGAGATAAAGGAAAAAAAAAGAGTGAGAAGAGCCATAGAAAGAAGGTCAATTTTTGCATAGACCCCTTTTGATGGTCTTTTATCCAAAGGTTGAGAGATTTGATGTTTTTTGTCCATAAAGATTTTTTTTCTATTTTATTGTATTTCTTTCTGGTGTGAGCCGTTGTTCCATTGTTTTGGTCGGTTTATATCCAATGCGAAGAACCATACTTCTTTCGATTTGATTAAACCGGGTGAGAGAAAACAGAAAGGGGATCCTTTTCCCCTTACAAGGATTGGTATGAGTTTGAGTGGGATCATATACAAAAGCATCCATGTTCTTTCTATCTTGTTAAGCTTGCAGATAATTATCAAGTTCTACTCTTATTCTCAGTTTTATGACAAAAGTCAAGTCATATTACATAAATGTTTCAACTTTGTTGCAAAATGATATTAAATTATAAAAGCAACAACAGAGCTTTTGAATGTTACAGACTTACAGTCCTTGGAATAAAAGCAAATCTTTATCGATGTGATGTGATGTGATATTTCTTGCTTTCAGTTTTCACTTGATTTCTTTCACCTTACTTTATATCTATTTAACGTTGCAAAGCAGTAATTATGCATTTCTATGTGTTACACATTGTTACTTAATCACTATACTGTCTTGTCTTGATCTCAATTAACATCTTGGTGATCGACAGCTTTTCACTCTGTCTTTACTCTAAAGTCACATGATTACATTATTGATTGAGCCTTATCTTTTAGCTTTATTTGTTGTGTTTACTCTTGAATACTTCTCTCTTCAGTCAGATTCCACTTAAAAAACATGTTTGTTTTTCCTCAAAGAAGAATCATGAGCTCTATTGGAGGTCATTGATTTTCTGTTGGTAATTAAAGAGATGGTTTGTATTATGTAAGAGAAGATTATCTAATATCAATGAAAGAGAGAATGATCAAAGATAAATTGAGAAATATGGAGAAAAAAAAAATCATAAGAAACATATAATGACAGTGAAATTGAAACATCTTTAGAAAAAAATTTGCAAAAGTAAAATGATTTAAATCAAAGAAATTGTCAAAGGTAATGTGATAATCAAACATATAAAATACGACAATAATATACATTGAGAAATACATATGGTAGTTATTAAATATATAAGTTTTGGAGATCTAACGGATTATATTCAATGGAACTTGGGGGAACTTTGCAATTATAAAGTTTTATTCATCTAAGTCAAAGATGTCGTGGTAAGGTAAATAAAGTAATGTGATAAGTTCCTCCTAAAATATGTTTTCCAATTTACAATTGTTACTATTTGGCTTGAAAGAAACGGTAGGAGACACGGTACAGTCCAGCGACCTCCGAACCTTCTCACCATATTCAATGACAAGCAAATAAGTAACCGGATCAGTTCATTACAAGGAATGGGTGGAGAAACTTTTAACCAAGCGATGGTGGTTTGGTTCTCGTCAAAGGATTAGGCGAGACTTACATCACTGATCTTAATTTAAAAACTATCATACTTGTTAGCTTAAAGTTGCACAAGTTTGTACAAATGTCTTTTTTGATTTGAATAAATTTAACATTCTTTCAAAAAAAAAAAAATGTGATTACTGAAAAATGTTTTAAAATGGATTGTTTGGTTCACTGATTGTGCAGTTTTTGTTACTATTGAGAAAAAGAGAAAAAATATTTTCACGAACATGAAAAGTCTTACTATTATATAACTTTAGAATTTTCAGCAAATCTAATATCTTTATTCACATTTACCCAATAAAACAGTTAATTTAACCACGAGATTGCAAATTAGTTCATTTCTTGAAAACTGAAATTTCGTTAAAGATTAGATTATGTTTCATGATCTTCTTGTTAACTCCCCCTCATCAACTCCAACAACATATACACACAATCAACATATACACAATCATCAGTAATCCTTGTGATTATCGGCTTCTAAACATGGTTTTCAAATTCAATGGCAATATGGACAGATCCAATCATTCAGCTGTATGATGCTCTTAGGTATAGGTTCAGCCTGCAAACATCACAATAAATGTATATAATCCACTACAATTCAAAAAAAAATGAAACTAAATATACCTTTGCCTTCTTAATTGCTTCCATCCTAGCTTGACTTATACTATTACGAAAAAAAATCCATGTGAGCTTTACTGTGAGTTTTGCTATTGGTAGCTTCCTTAGCTTCGTAAAATACTCGTTGTTCTGGGAGATTAAGACATTCTCTCAGTGTCCATTGAAGATATGCAACAACTCAGTGTTACATTCGCTGGCATACTATATTACAATGTCATCCATTTTTGGCTGAATGCTATCCCAATAACCTATTGCTACTTGAAATTCTTCTGGTTCAAAAAATCCAGAACCTGTCAGCTTGTTAATGATCCTCTCATGAACTAAATTGTGGGCCAATTCCGTAGGAATTTTCGATATTCATAATCTCAAATGACAATCAAGTGACCTTTTCTTTAATACCTCAAGAACAAGGAACAAAAAAAATTTAATAAAGTGATATAGATTACTCAAATGTTAAAACACCAAACACAAAACAAAGCGTATATCATACCAGATTATCAGCTTCTTGCAGCTTAAGTCTTTGGGGAACAACATTGTATTGTGTCCCAGCAGCACCTGAGTTGTCTGGACATCCGCTACTCTAATTTTTGTTCATAAATATTTTCTTTTATTGTATTCCTTTCCTGTGTGAGCAGTTGTTTCATTGTTTGGCCGGTTTATATCCAGTGACAAGAACCAAGTTTTTTTTCTATTTGATTAAACCGGTGAGAGAAAAGCATCCATGTTCTTTCATCCTTGCTAAGCTTGCAGTGTATTACGCTTTTTTCTCAGTTTTATGATCAAATCAAGTCATAAGACATACAATTTCAACTCTGTTGCAAAATGATATTAAAATATAAAAGGTGAGCAGATCTTGAATGTTACAGTCCTTTGAATAAAAGCAAAATCTTATTGTGATGTGATATTTTTTGCTTTCAGCTTCCACTTGATTCCTTTTACCTTACTTTATGTCTGATTAACATTGCAATGCGTTTAGTTTTTCATTTCTGTGTGATACACTTTGTTAGTCAATTGCACCTTGTTTTAATCTGAATTAACATCTTGGTGATCGACAGCTTTTCACTCGTAGTCTTTACTCTAAAATCAAATGCTAACTCCATTGATTGAGCATCATGTTTTAGCTTTGTTTGTTGAGTTCACTCACTCTCGCATAAATCTCTTTTCAGTCAGATGTCACGTGTTTTCTATTCGTGGCAAATCATTGTATTCCAAAAACTTCGGTAAACCTCTCAACTCTCAAGGGATTCTGAAGTTTCATATAACGTCAGAGAAACGAACCGATCAATTATGCCCATATACTCAGATATGGCGTAAAGTTTCTTTTTTACTTTTGAAACCTACTAAACTATTAATTTGCCCCATAAAGTTCCCCATTATGACACAAGAACGCAGTAGAAATAGCAACAGATAAAGATATGAATCCATTTTTCTTTTCCAAAGTAGATAAAGAAAAACAGTTGCCAACTACTTTCAATTATCAAACCCGTGAATTTACCACAAGTTAGAGTATCTCTAATGTAAAACTCTATTTTTTCCTCCAAAATAGAATAAAAGTGATTATGGAGTAAAAATTCTTCAACCTCACTCTATTTCCAACTCCATAATGGAGTAGTGAATAAAGAAAAAATAGATTACTCTATTTATGGAGTAAATCTCATTATGGAATAAGATATGGAGTGAGGTTAGAGCATCTTTTTTATTTCATAATCACTTTTACTCCAAAAATTTTGAAGTAAAAAATGGAGTTGGATTTGAGATGTCCAGCAGCTACTACTCAACAATCAAATTTAAAATTAATGCTTAGCATTGTTTCTTTTTTTTTGGCAAGTGTTTTAGTATAATTGTTGCAGATTTTACCAACTCATCGTTTGTGATCATATATTACATGAAAACTGAAAATTCATTTACATGGTAACCCAAAACTCTGACAAAAAAAAGCAACATATCATCATAAATTTCAAAACATATATCGAATATCTTTGTTCGCCATCTAGTCTTCTTTGAGGATTTTAGTACACCATATTTTCAAGCAAGAGGAAACACTAAAATGATTGAAAACTTGCGGTAGTAGTAGTAGAAATATACATACTGTAACTTGGTATGAATCTCCACATTCTCTCACAGTGGTTTCTAAGTCTCAGTATCTTTGAAGTTTTTGTTTCTCTTCAATTGTGAATCAACCCTGCAAAAACAGAATCAAACAAAGTATTTATTGGTTATGTTATTTCACTAAACACAATAACTGCTTCATGGCTCCTACAACAAAGAACATAAACAAAACTTGTATACCTCTAGATCCATGATCTGGTCGAGTTTCAGCTAATGGGTTGACTATAAACCCCGCAGCACCACTGAACCGCTGCCTCGAGTCTTGCATCCCCATGGTTTGTGCATTTCTGTTCCTATGAGTAGCCAGCCTCGAAGCTGAATGCTGCTGATCTGGTTTCTTCCAGAATTTGGATCTAATGAAACTCCCAGGAGGTATGAGACAACAGTTGTTACTCATCCTTCGATTTGAAACTGCCATGTCATAAGATATCTCATCCATCGCAAGCTCTAGTCCCTGAACCCTAGTTTCCAGAGCACGCATTCCATGTTCTGAGCTTCCCACAAATCTCTAATGAAATAAAACACAAAATGTAAGAAACTATCATGGTCATATGTTTTCAATGCTACTTGTTAGAGCCAAACCTGAAGAAGATCCATTAGATTGGATTGTTGTTGCTCAATCTGAACAAGCTGACTACGGATCAGAGACATATCTTCAAACCCTTGGCAGTTAAAACTATTCTGGTTTTCAGACAAGACAACACTTCCAAGTTTCTGCATCTTCTCTTGATTAGAGTAACTCACTTCCTTTGTGTTCTCATTATGCTCAAGAGATTCTTCTTCAAGAGGCTCACCTCCTCCTCCAGCTTTCCAGTCCAATCTCCTCCTCACGTTTGATTTAGCACGTGACGGTAAACTTGTCTTCCTCTGATCACTACTCTTTACATTAGTCCGTTTCCTAGCCGTGGTGGTGGCTAGTGAGCTCCCTGGTGAAGTCGTTCTTGGTTTACCAGGTGTTGATACAACTCTAGAGCTTTTAAATGGGTAACGTCCATCACATGCATCACCTAAACACATACCAAAACAACAAACTAATCTTAAAACCAAGAATAGTAACTACTAAAAATAAAAACAAAAACTTTCCTAATTTAGCAAAAAAATCTAAACACCTTTAGAAGAAGCATTAGATCTCGGTGGAGAAACTTCTTCAGACAAATCTGGAACTTGTCTCCACGCCTCTATCATCTGATTCATCACATCTCTCACAGCTTTCACCTAAACACACATAATCAAAACTTCTGATCATACTTTTTTTTTTATTAATTTGGGGATATCCTAGGCCCATGGAGAGGTGACCAGGATAATTGTGATTCAGTTTCGTGTATCAGGTGGATCGAACGTGAAACATGTTGGTGTCTCAGCCCCGTCTCCTTACCACTCGACCACAATCACCCGGTCTTCTGATCATAATTGATAAAAAAAAAAAAAAAAAAAAACCTTATC